AAAAAAAAAAAAAAAACCGTTGATAGTAAAAAAAAATGTTTTAAATACATATTTTTGATAAAATAGAAAAGTAAATTTCTTTTATACTCGTACTCTTTTCCCAATTAGCGAAAATAAATTTACAGCTCCCGATTATTTCATTTTTACAATGATACTCGTTATTAACTATGCACAGCACAGTCATTTTAATGAAAAATCAATTCATAAAACGTTCTAATCATTCTCATCTGAGTCTTCACTGGTATCGCCTTCGTTATCTTCTTCCAGTTCTGGCATTGGGAAACGCAATATAGCTGCAACACCTGTAAGTTGGTCTAGTTCTGAAAACAGTGGAAATAATTTTTAAAATGTACTTTTTAAAGTAGTAATAAAACTAAGAAGAAATTAACACTAACGTTCACCAGAGACGTGTAAGCTTGAAAATATTTTAACATCACCTCCTGAATCTTTCACTGCTTCGACAAGGGTAACATACTCTTTCCTCAAAGCAACATCTTGACATCTGTTAACATTGAAAGAAGTTTGATAAATCATCTATGATATTTAGCTAAAGATAAAATGAAAGTCTTTACCTAAATAGTTTATCAGAAATGAGCAAGGTTTCAATAGCTTGTGCTTCACATGCCACTTGAACGTGCTTTTTTCCGTAAAAAGCTTTCGACGGATCTGTTTTCAGTGTGATATAAAAGTTTTCCAAGGCTTTAACTTCACCTAAAGCTTTTGTATCAGATATACGGGCAGCTACAACTGGATCCAATAAAACTTCTGCAGTGGAAAAAAAAAAAGTTGTAATTATTTGTTTTTCACGGAAAACTATACACCAGTACCTTTTAATGAATGTTTAAAACCAGAACTTGAATGAACTACAATGAATTTGCTTTTATTTTCAAGAATCAGTTTGTTTTCTGTTTTGACAGCTTGTTGAATCATGTAATTCATAAATTGATCTCTTACAAATCCAGGACTTGCAACAATAATACATTTGACAATGTCAAAATTCACGTGTCTCAAAATCCCTTGCAGTATGCTTTCATAAAAACGATTTAATCCCTGCAAAACGATATTTAACTTACTTAACTGAGATTTAGAATAATATTGAGTTTACAAATGGTTTATAAATTAAAACCTTCTCGTGTTGAGATACACTTCCTTTCCTTTTCCTTGGAATAACTTGATCTATTTTAGCACGTACTATTGTCATATGGGACGTTATCAAGCATATAAATGCAATACCTTCTTGCATTACAACAGCAGCAACATCGGCACTCTAGGAGTATATGCATGTTAGAGTAATTCTTTACTAAAATATACAAATAAAAATAATAAATAATAAATGATAAACAAGGAACTTACTTGCGATGGATCACAAGCCGAATCAACGCGTTCCAAAGCAATGGAGTCCCATACTGGTTTTCTAATTGTTACTTTTCTATTTAGTTCAACATCCAAAGTGTGATATGCACCAGTCTACATAATTAGAATATTTTTAATCACCTTTACTTATAATGTTAAATCATTGTAAAATAGAAAAAAAATGACTGTAAAGAATTCCGAACCAATTACCTTCACGTATTTGTTTTCTTCAACATTTCTGCCTTTAAGCCTGAGAACACAAGCTTGAGTATCAAAGTCTATGTTTTCTACACATATTGTTAAATTTGTTCGGACTCTCTGGCTACTTGAGCTGCCGGTGGAACTTTCCATTTGTACTTTTCTGGAGACCCAAATTCAATCATTGCCAAGGCATTGCAAACTTTCTCTTATATTTAAGTGACAAAAAATACCGTGTACCTGTAGGTGGAACATGTTACACAATCTCCTTTGCTTATTAAGTTGTAAATATGCCACATGTCCTCCGACTCATCTGGGGTGAGGGCGATGCACCTTGAATTATTTGGCACAGAGCGTTAAATAAAGACCACAGGTACATCAAATTTAATATTAGAATGAAAATGAAAAACACTTCGGGCATACACTCACCCTTCACCATCTTTGTCAACGTTTCTGTAATTGAGCTTCATATCGGGATATATCCTTATCACCGCGCAATAATATTGTTTATCAAGCTCGCATATTTGCCAAGTAAATAAATAGTTTTTTCACTAATTAAAATGGCATAAAAGTAACTATCACACCAGCAGCATATCAAGGGTTATGCTCTTATATTCACGTGTGGATTGTGGAGGAGTACATTTATATAAACACACCTCTGACTAACGTGCTATAAGTATATAGGTAACTTAGCACAAGCACTCAGCTTAAGCTGATTAGCAGAGCACAGTTTAGTTTACACTACCGAGTTACCGACTACCGACTGCTGTTGTGGCTTCAAACTACTGACAAACTCAGAACATGGCGCCGGTCGAGTTGAGCCTGTTTAGCCTAGATTGTTTACGTAGTCTACATTTCTCATATGTCTGTGGTTTACGCGCTGTCCCGCTGTGTGTTTTGGGAGTTTGAGGTTATTATTATGTTGCATTGGCAAAATATATGTACGGTACTTTTCATGTCAGTGTATTTATTTATTTAAAGTTCGATTTTCATATATTATTGAAACTTAAATTAACAATCAACGGATAAAAAATTCTTCCACATTAATAGGCACTCAGTTCATAATCGTACTGCGACTAAAAATTTTCGTGTTTGAATGTAGACTCGAGGTTGAAAAATAAGTTAATCATTAGACTCGGAATCTTGATTATTTACTTGATTAATCTGTATTTATTATTGAACTGTATGTAGGTAAAGTGAATAAAAATGAACCACGACAAGAAGTCAGGTAGACGAAGTAGGTCTAGAGAAAGAGACCGGGACAGAGAGTATAGAGAGCGAAGGAGATCTCGGAGCCGCTCGAAGGACAGGAAAAAAGACAGGAAGCGTTCCAGGTCACGCGAGCCCGACAAGTTCCGCTCGCGTGACAAAGACAAGGACATCGACAGAAGCCGGGACAAGCGTGATAACAGGGACAGTAAGGATGCAAAGGATGTCAGGTCCAAAGACGACAGGAGGCGCAAGACGAGCCCTGGTGGTCACGCTGACGATGGTAAAAAAGATGCCAAAAGCCAGGCCAAAAAGGACGAGGATGCCAAGGAAGCCGAAGAGTCGGAGCAAAAGCAGGATAAGCCCAAAAAAGAGCCCCTCAGTCTTGAAGAGCTGTTGGCAAAGAAAAAGTCTGAAGAGGAGGCCCGTGCCAAGCCCAAGTTTCTTACCAAAGAGGAACGAGTGGCTGCAGCCCTGAAAAAGCGTGAGGAGTCGGTCCAGGCTATGAAGAAACAACAAGAGGAACAGAGGAAGTCGTTCTCGCAAACTGACAACTCGGTCTCAAGTGGTCATAAAGTATGGGACGACCGGGAAAGGTATGTACATTCACTCTGTTTTGTTTGTTCTTGTTTTTGATGTGTGGACTGAATTATGGATTATTATTTCTGTTTATCTAGGCGCAAAGAAAATCAGAGAGCTCGAGATGAGGATGTCAAAGACAAGGACAAAGAAAAAGAAGTTGAAGCCATTAAAGAGCGTTATTTGGGACTTGTGAAAAAGAAGCGTCGTGTCAGAAGATTGAATGATCGTAAGTTTGTGTTTGATTGGGATACCTCGGAAGACACTTCTGTGGATTATAATAATATTTACAAGGAGAGGCATCAGGTACAGTTCTTTGGAAGAGGCAACGTTGCGGGTATCGATATCAAAGCTCAAAAACGTGATCAAAGCAAGTTTTACGGTGAACTGTTGGAAAAGAGAAGAACAGAGGCTGAAAAAGAACAAGAAAAGTATTTTTTTTTCCTTTTCCTTTTAATGTGTTTATTTCTAGTGGGATCTTTTGTCAAGAAAGTTTCAACTGATGAGAGTAAAACTTATTACTATGATTCTTGTGTTTAGGGTAAGATTAAAAAAAGTAAAACGGAAAGAGGAAAAACAGAAATGGGATGATCGACACTGGACAGAAAAGGCAATAGATGAAATGACTGAACGAGATTGGCGAATTTTCCGAGAAGACTACAATATTACCATCAAAGGGGGTCGCATACCTGATCCTATTCGATCTTGGAAAGAGTCTGGTTTTCCAAAGGAAATTTTAGATATCATTGATAAAATAGGCTACAAAGACCTTACACCAATTCAACGACAAGCTATTCCGATTGGCATACAGAATCGTGATATCATTGGTGTCGCAGAAACTGGTTCTGGTAAAACGTTGGCCTTTTTAATACCACTTTTATTGTGGATCACAAGCCTCCCTAAAATAGAACGCATAGAAGAAGCAGATCAGGGCCCTTACAGTATCATATTAGCCCCAACACGGTATATATCACTTCTATTCACATTATTTTCCATTTGAAGGTCAACTGGCACTCTTTTTAATATTATTTCATTATTTCTAGTGAATTGGCTCAACAAATCGAGGAAGAAACTAATAAATTTGGTCAACCACTAGGCATCAGGACCGTCGTTGTTGTGGGTGGTATGTCAAGAGAAGAACAGGGATTAAAATTGAGAATGGGTTGCGAGGTACTTACTAGCTTACTTATTAACGCTTACATCTAAGAATCACTAATCATTGTTGTCATTTTGCTGTTTTCAATATTATTAAACAGTTTATGCATGTGTGAATTCTTCACAATATTGGTCTGTTATTTCAGATTGTAATTGCGACACCTGGTCGATTGATAGATGTCCTAGAAAATAGATATCTAGTTTTGAACCAATGCACATATATTGTTCTGGACGAAGCCGATCGGATGATAGACATGGGTTTCGAGCCCGACGTCCAGAGAATCCTTGACTTCATGCCAGTGACGAATCTCAAACCAGACAATGAAGATGCCGAAAACGAGGAAAAGCTTTTGGCCAATTACAATACGAAAAAGAAGTACAGGTCGACTGTCATGTTTACGGCAACTATGCCGCCGGCAGTGGAAAGGCTTGCCAGAACTTATCTAAGACGGCCGGCCGTCGTTTACATCGGTAGTATTGGTAGGCCTACCGAGCGTACGGAACAAATCATACACATTATGGGTGAGGCTGATAAGAGGAGAAAACTCATGGAGATTCTTAGTCGTGGCGTGGAGCCACCCATCATCATTTTCGTTAACCAAAAGAAAGGTGCCGACGTACTGGCCAAAGGGCTTGAAAAGTTTGGGGTATGTTTTTTCATTATTTCTTTATTGCGGTGTTACGCGTGAAATTCGTTGGTTTCTTTTACTTTTAATATTCGAAATATTAAAATTTTTAGTACAATGCTTGTACACTTCATGGTGGTAAAGGACAAGAACAGAGAGAGTACGCTCTTGCGTCACTCAAGGGTGGAAGCAAAGACATTCTCGTTGCCACCGACGTCGCTGGTCGAGGTATCGACATCAAAGACGTATCAATGGTCATTAATTATGACATGGCCAAGTCTATTGAAGGTAAGATGGTTTTACCTACCCAAGCAAGTGCAGCTGTAAATTGAAATCAAATCAAATAGCACCTAATTGATACAATTTTCTTCGACCTTTTTCAGATTACACGCATCGTATCGGAAGAACCGGTCGTGCTGGGAAAAATGGTATCGCTATATCTTTCTGTACAAAGGATGACAGTCACTTGTTTTATGACCTCAAGCAGATCGTTTTGTCCAGTCCTATTTCAACTTGTCCCCCAGAGCTTCTTAACCATCCAGATGCACAGCACAAACCGGGAACAGTTGTCACTAAAAAGCGAAGGGAGGAAAAGATTTTTGCTTAAAAATCTCCGATTTTATAATGATAAACTTTGTACTGACCAAAATACCATCTTTTTAACACAATGTGGATTTACGTTGAAAATTGACACACCTATCGATGAAAGTTCAATGTATTGGTCAGATTATTCAATAAACTTTGTTATGCGTTTAAACTATTATTGTCAATTATTGAATTATTTATTCTCAATTTATAAATAAACAGTAGTAACCCCAGTCATACAAAATAAAATTACTTATAGTAGACACTGGTTCTCAATGGTGTACAAAGTCGTGTATTCTTTATAAAATTGTCTATGTATGTCATTAGCCAATCAAATGACGTAAAATCAATACTAATACTTTAACATTACGAATTCGCGGAAATTCGCGATTCTGATCTACTTGAAAAGTGCAATAGATTATCAAGTTTTACGATCACACATAAGTTGAAAGGCATTGTAAACGATGGTCACTTTTTATTGAACCTCCTTAAAGTGTACTTAAAAACATTTTCAGTATTATAAAAGTTGAAAAGAGTAGTACCAAACCCCTATACAGTGCAGTCTTTTTAAAAATACGTCTATGCAACATAATATGTAAATACATATTTTCTCTGCATATTTTTACTTGTATGAATGTCACCTTTTGTATAATTATCCTTCAGAGAATGACTTTCAATTAAAAAATGAAGGTCATTTGATTTTCAAGAAACGTTTTGTTATGTACCTACAGCATTGTAAATGCTGACTTGATAGTATAACTGAATCTCCGACCGCGTGGCGGCATGATTCACTCCCGCATGTGGCGAAAAAAGTGTCTGGTCAGTATATATAGACCAAATTGACATGACTCGTTCAGAGATGTGTACACACTGGCTCATGACGTATATCTAGTCACTCACGTGGTCGGACTCGGTTTGACTAGTTTGCTACGTTGTAGTAGCTCACCGATCCGCACCTGTACAGGTAGTAAGTGAGGTAAGTCAGGTAAGTGGACGTGGGTGACGTGCTGGTGCGTACATATTTTTTGTATTTTATTTTTACATTTCTATTGAAAACCAGAGTTTTGCTTCATTATTTGCGTTTTCCCAAACCAAATTCATCTCTTTTTTTCATTTCCTCTTACAAAGGGTGAAAATTCTGAGAAATCAAGAAAAACATACGTCCGCTGCTTTAACTTAATATAATTTTCCAACATTAATCAACTTACATATTGTAATCTGTCCATTTATTATACAATTTTTTTGTTTTCAGTTATAATTCGTTTAAACAGCCTTTTTATATATTTTTCCATTATTTTGTTTTCTGTTGAAAAATCCTTTTGTGTTGAACATATTTTTTTTTGTATACGTACTAAAAAAACGGCTTCTGGATATATAATCGTAATTAAAAAATGATTTAAAAATTATTTCCTTTTTTCGCAATAATTAGCGCTTTTATTGTTAATAAAAAAATGAAATTATTAACTAATTGAAGTTTACACCCTGGGTCATTTGGTTTAAGGGCTGAAGAGTACAGGGTTATGGGGGTTGAAGTACTTGGGGTAAAGGCTTAAGGGGCTTAAAAGCTTGAATTTGAGTTGATTGGTTTTAGTACGTTTGAATTTGCTGCTATCATTTAACATTACCGATATTCGAAGCAAAAGTGAGGTGGAGGGCATCAAAAATTTTATTATTGTGTCAAAGATATAATATAACAAAAGCAATCATTTCCAGATAGTAGCTGATCTTTTTTACGAACCGATTTTTTTTGTTCGCAATAGGATGTGCCGATTTCAAAACTTTGTACAATACTACATAAAGTGTCCGGGGAAGTTTATTTATTTACCTTTGATTTTAAGACGGTACTATAATTATCAATAATTTTGGCATTTATTTCACGCAATAAAAAATTTTTCACTAAAAATCGTTCTACATGCGTGTAAACGATAAAAATGGCGTAGTTTTGATTTGTTGTGTGCATAAGTAAAGGTTTCCATAAACCCGAGACGGTAATAATAAATCTGTATCCTTCCGAAAGAATCTCTTTATGTAGTACTGAAACGAACGTTTTGCATCCCATGGCCTATGGCTTTTCCTGTACCGATCGGGTTTAACGATCCCAGTAGCGCACCAAATTTGCTTAATTTTTGTCTTCACTTTGCTCCTTAGACCAAACGGCAAAGTTCACGTTTCACGTAACTTAATTGCAGTTTAAAACTTTTATTTAGCTTCGTCACTCATGATTGACGTTTAAAAAACCGTATTTTGAGTTCCGTGGCAGTTTACCTCAACTATCACACTCGTTCTGCCGCATTGCTCGCCACCTGCTTTTGAGGTATCAAGGTGAAGATTAAAAAAGATAAACAATTGAGAGCAAGTTTTATTTTACTAATATTAGACGCCCTGATTCGAAAAAAAAATCTCTCGGGTTTCCATTTCAGCCTACGCTATAGTTGTTTTTTTTCGAATGTATGTATGTTACATATTCATTTTTATTTTTTACAAACAATCAATGAATACACATTATAAAGAATTAACTTTTTTTGCAAAAAAGTTACGAAGAAACAATTGTGTTTTTAGTAAATATAACTCACATCAGACTCTTGCATGCATACGCACGATATGTATACTACACCACAATATAATATATTATTATCACCATTATATTATCTAGGAGGGGCATTTTTAATTTGAAACGCGCTTGTACTTATTTACGTACAACAATAATTAGCGATAACGAAACAAAACTCGTGCATACAAACGCAATATAATCAACTAGGAGAAAAATTGACACAGTCCCAGTGTAAGAGTACTGACACTGCCGGCAGCGACGAACAAGCATAGGTATCGGCCTGTTATGGGCACCCTGTAGAGCCTCGCGCACATTTTCAGCGACGACGTGTACAGGAGCAGCGTGTCCAAGTCCTCGCCGGGGGTGCTCTGATAAACGTACGGCCTCACGCGCACCTCGTGCCCGATGCTCTGCATCATCGAGCAGGTGGTGGTCAATCGAGCCGCCTAGTAATTCACCAAAATTACTTGTTATTTTTTTATCGGTGTATTTTGATCGGTGTGCATATATACATCCCAAGCGAAAATTATATATTTTAACGAATAAAAAAAAAAAACAATTACTCTGATTATAAGAATCGTAAATGTCCAGATTTGAGACAAGTCGTACAATTTTCACCATTAATTATCACTATCCGATACTTGACTTTTGAAATTTATTAAAAACTAATAAAAAAAAAAAAAAACAAATAAATAAAAATAACATCCAATAATAAGTTGCGACAGGTAATTGTTTTATTAATTGTCTCAAATCTAAACTTTGTATAAAAATGGTTATAATTATTTTTTAATTTATTTAGATCTTATATTATTTATAGTAGTTATGACCAATTAGTCGAATAAAATTATTTCATCCTGGGATGTACACATGTATAAATATATTATTCGTATGACAAATGAAACGAGTAAAATGTACTTGAACAAACGGAGCTACGGATATCCAGATCCAGAGGCAAACGTTGACAACGTTAGTGTAGCCCAGCAGGTCCATCTTGCGATTGTCCTCGCCTAACTTGATCAGCCACACCAAGCCTGACAGGGCGTAAGATATATTAACGATCGTGTAAATGCAAACAGCCGGGGCGTACTGATCATTGAAGTATTTCAAAAGTTTTCTAAATTCGCTTATCTCCTGTACGAGAGAGACAAAAAAAAAGCCAAAAAGAAAAAAAGAAAAAAAGAAAACAAATCACATACACACGCTTTTATTATTTTTTTTTTTTCAAAATTTTTTTTTTACCAATGATGATGATGATAATAATAATTACGATCAGTAAGTATATGTGCACACATAATGTATATGACATGAGAATTGTACACACACCTTCATCCACTCGAGCCCGGACATGGAGTGCTGCAACAGTTTGATCTTCAAGAAATTCAAGTGCGATATCAACAGCTGGCCCTGCAGGCAGTAGCTCGTTATGATGGTGCTTTGGACCATGTCGTGCCACAACGTGCACAGGACCAGGAGCACCTGGAGCCCCGTCTTGGCCTCGGGAAACCTGGAAGGTGTCAACAATAACATGTCAATGCAACAAGCCATCGTTTTTCATATCTCTTATAGCTCGTCGGTCGATAGATGGTGTGTACAAATCACCTCTTTTCAAGCCACCGAAAGGACACGGCCTCCCTCGCGGTCATCAGACTGACGGCAGCCAGGGCCAAAAGGAGCCACACCAAGCCCAGGCCGATAAAGAGGCCCAGGGTCCTGACCAGGCGCTTCTGACCCCCTCGGTTGGCCGGATTGAAGGAGAGCAGGAAGGCCCGTTCCATGAGGTTCTGCAGCTGCTCGTTGTCCTTGACCCGGAACAGGTAGACCGTGTACAGGTAGGCGATCAGGTGCAGGCTACTCGGGACGAAGTAAGCGAACGCCGGGCTACCGTAGCACAGCTTGTCGTAGTCGTCGCCTCCTCGAGTACTCGATGACAGCCACTCGGTCTGGATCAGCGGTGCCTTGTAGCAAAAGCCTCGGTCCCTCCTGCATGTATATAATTAGATACACACATGTTTTAGGGTACATATTGTTTACATGGGTATATTATAATGTATGATACCTGTAGCAGGCCAAGAACTGCAGGACGTAGCCGATGCACATGAAAATGACGACCTGGAAGGTGTGGTAGTGGATCAGGCAGTTGAGGCAGGCCGAGCGCTCGATTCCCTCGGTGTTGGGCCTCAGGCCCATGACGCTCAGTAGGCCCAGGTAGGGCTTCAGTATTTTGTGCTTGCAGTAGTGCAGCACCGCGGACGTGCACAAGTTCTCGTAATCCGGCATCTCGGTTATCTCGCCGATCTGTGGGTGCAAACATATAAATATACTTAATTTTTTCCGTTTAGAAATATAAGTTTGTAAATGCATGAAATATCTTAATAAATAATATATTGTTGGACTTGCTTCGTTGCTATGGAGATCGGATAGGAGCGACGGTGTCGAGGATGGGCCCTGCTCTGCATCCTGGACCGGCTGCGACATAGAGGCTGATTCGTTGGCGCTTGTCGGGTTCACCTGAGACAAAGAATTAACGGAGGAGGCACTTTGTAGTTTTTTTTTTCTTATCACTTTTATACATACCTGCGTTGACGGCCATTTTTTTAATATATGGAACAACAAAAGTTATTTCGACCTCAAGTGATAAATATTGATACTAAAATGTGGTGGGTTTCGTTAATTGTTTACCATGTATATTTGTTGTTGCTCGAGCCCAAAATTACGAGATTATCGGATCAAAATACGACACATGTATAACAATATAATCTTCGACCGATTGATAGGAAAAACACTACGTCGCGGTAAACACCGGGACTTACCTTCATTGCGAGAAAACTCTGCTTAGTGAGACCATGTACGTTCGGCAAGAGGAAATTTTTCGAAACTTGTTTCACCGTGAATCGCTCATAATCGCACAACTGTCACCAACTCAAGGCATTTTTTCCAAGAATCAAGTCATGATTGCGAGGCGTATACGAAAAATCACGCGTCCACGAGTAGGTATGTGTATCTTTTGACTGACAAGACAGTCGAAGCTGTTGGCTTATGGCCGAGCGCGTATATCAGTGACATTTCACCTTTCGTGCGATAACACGCGTCAAGCGAATCTTTTATAAATTACGCTCGAGTTAGGTTAATTATAAGTTTTACGGACTACCAAAGAATTCACTTTGTTGGGTAGAAATATAATTTATTTACAACTGTACAGAGATTTATTTCCTTTGAAACTACTGTTTTCCCATTCAATATTTCGATTTTTTTCCTCTTCCTATGCTTCCTGCTGGTCTCAACTGATGTCTCATCTCTTGTCTGTTGATTGTTTTGCTTCTGTTGAAGTTTTTCTACAAGCAAAACATTGAATCACGTTTATTAATACTAATCAAGTACGCATCTGACGCAATCGCCGTTAGTTTCATTTACCTTTGGAATTTTGAACGTCATCTCCTTGTTCCCTTTCGTTCCTTTCACCGTGCTCCTGTGCGACTCTTCCAATTCCACTCTGTCACCGAGACTCATCCTAAAAACGCAACGACATGCCATTTGATGAATTTATTTATTTCAACACTTCGTTATTTTTAAACAATTAATTACGCAAACGAGTGTCATCTCCCGAGTGCCAATACATTAACGGATCACTACTCACTTTGCTCGTTTCCTTATGAAATTTGATCTGTTGATCGTATAATCATCCTTTAATTCGTAGAATTTGGGCTGTTTTTTCGGGAAATTCAGGGCTTTTTCCTCTTCCAGTTCCGCCTCCTTTCTCCTTTCTTCGTCTGCGGCTTCCCTTTCAGTGTCCTTAATCAGCTTGTATTGCTTCTTGACATCTTTCACCCACGGTTTTTCATCGTCGGAAGTGTCAATGTAGTCTTCAGCATCAGAGCCCAGACTCTTTTCGTCTTTAAAATAATTCAAATAATATGAATTAAAAAACATTCAATCGATTCTTTAACAACATACCAATGTTGAATATAAATAACGTACCGTCATCAGCTGCTTCATTGGTTTGGTCTTCAACTTCTTGTACGCGACGTTTTCTGGATTGATCCAAATGAGAAAGAACAGGATGGAGTAGAGAATACTCTTGAGATTTGGTGTCGACTTGGAAGTCCGGATTTTCAAATAGAGCTTTGAATCGCTCGTCTTTCATCACGTTGCTCGGGGCGTTCTTCTTTTTCTTTGGATCCATATCCATCTCGGACTCTATATATTTGAGTGCCAATTCCTTGTTAACAGCCGGTAATTTTCGTACTTGCACACGCTTGGGGCGCTCTTCTTGAATCTTTTCTTGAATCTTCTTCTTTCTGTACTCTTCATACGAAAATGGTTGCGAGACGCTCTTGGCTTTTCTGTACAATCTGATGTCTATAAAGTGGCCGTGCATGTAGGCTCGCAATAAATTGGTGCCCTTCAAATGCGCCAAGTCCAGTTCCTCTAGCTCCTTTTCGGTCACAAATTTGTAATCGTCGTACAGGTTATCGTAGTCCAGTTCTTCGAGCTCTTCCGTGAGATTATCAAGAAAACCACACCATTTGGGGGCTGGCCCGAGACTGGGAATGTAATACGATTGTATTTTTGGGCTTTCGTTGGCTATGAACATTAGACCGGTATTTGGTACGATACACAAATCGTTGAAAGCCGACTGCGCCTCAGCTGCTTCGATAAATGTATATATTTTTCCCTGAAATTAAATAAAATAGGTATTAAGTGAACATAAATGTAAAAAAAAAAAAAAGAGCTCTTACCGTATCTTTTTCCCAGATTTTGACATTTTCACTGTCCATTGAATACACCAAATCCATACTTTTATGAAACTCAATGTTTCTGATAGGTAAATTTTTATTATGATCTTTTACCGTAAATGGACTGTTTGACCTGATGTCGTACAATAATACTTGACCGGTAGCTGTTCCAACACCCAACGTTAAAGCTCCCTGACTCTTTAGAGCTGTGACTGATGGTACTGTATTCATGCTAGATTAAAAACATTAGAATACTTTTGGTAAAACAATAAAAAAATGAAAAACTTTTTTAAGCATTTCTTACTTAGTTTCATGTTTGATACAACTAAAGCCACAATCGAGGATTCCTACTTTGTTTTTAACACGGGGATCCCATGCTTCAACTTTTCCTTCATTAGTTCCAACAAATAACAAACTATGCACAGGATTTATGGTACATTTATTTATGGCTGAGCTGTCAGAAATAAACGGTTGTAGAAACTGTCCTCTTTCCAAATTTAATCTGTATATTTCATTACTGCAACATAATTTCAATTAATTAGCTTTTGTTTCGAAAAGATATATTTATAGTAATTTATCTTACCTAGTTCCAACAACAAATAAATCACATGATGGATAGTGATACTGTAAATCTCTACCAAATCTTGGTATCCTTAACCTGTAGTATTTTCCAGGTGCTGAATGAATTTCTATGTATCTGTCACATTGCAAGAACACTATCTGCAAGTTTGGAAGTATGATTAGTAAAAATGTATTCTATTGTACTAAAATAAGAAAACAATGTAGTTATTCACTTTGCTGTAGTCATCGGACAACACTTCAAATGTAACAACTTCCGAGTCAAAACATCTTTCAAATTTCAAAGATAAGTGATTGACATCAAAACATTTGAGTCTGGGTTTGTAAATTCCTGTAGCAAAAATATACTGTCCATCCTTTGACACTCTAACTGATGTGCTGACAGCAGGCATATCAAAGTCTTGAATGAGCTCAATACGTCTTCTAATATCTGGAAACAAGAGAAAAAGTGTGAATTTTTGAATAAAAATCATCATACCAAATAATTTGAACAAATGAACGATTGTTCGATTGATAAAGTGACATTTTTATAAAATTCTTAAAAAAGTTTCTACTTACTGACATCCTTCTTTGCCAGGTTCCTCCTTTTTCTTTCAGAAAGCCACTGTAAAATAAAAATAAATTTTCATGTTACATTTGTATTTGGAGACATTTAATTAATTCATTTAAAAACATTGTGCAGAGTTAAAAAATTGATTAAAGTTACTAACCTCAGGTAGACTTTTTCCAGCACTTAAATTATAGATTTTCACATCATTTACTTCTGAAACTTGCATTTTGTAATATATTAATTAACAGTAATAAATACAAAAATCAACATGCATGTTGTCACCACATGAGGATGAGGTAAACTGTAATTCACACAGGTTATGTTTGCGGCCTTAGGGCGGTTCACATGTAAGATTTTGTTGCCGGCTAGCACTTCATTTTCATGTAAACTGGTCATGAAGCGATTTGGCGCCAAACTAAATTTGTGAGTACATTTTTAAATATACATACTTAACACATACTTAACAATTTTATGATATTTCTATCTCGACTTGGGAGATAATGCGTATGTCAGTAGCATATTTTTTTCCAAAATTAGAATAATTTTTTAACGATTTACTCAAGTTTACCTCTTCACTCAATTTTGAATCCTATATTTTTGAATTTATTTATTTTAAAAATTCACTGGCACTTAACTGCCCTTTAGACATGCTTTTTAAACAATGAACCAATTACAATACAACACTACACTAACCAATATCAGTTACAAACTGTTTTCCATTGATTGGAAAATTAAAATTTTTTTATTTATTTTTTAGCCTTGCATGTATCGAAAACTAGTTTGTCTTTTTATCATAATAATAAAAAAAAAAAAATTACAATAAATCTTTTTACGAAATATTTTAAAACATTATTTTTATTATATTTAACGCTTCTATATTGTATACCATATCCAACGCATTTTATTTTAATTCGACGTTTAATTGACAACTTTTGAAAATAAATAAAAAATTGTCTATCACACCATTCTGTAAGAGCTTGAAAAGAAATGAAGGTTGTATTAAGGAAGTTCCGACAAAAAAAGTAAAATGTTAGATAACGCTGAAACAAAATTAGGTTATTTTTAAGAACATTTAATGTGCAAATGAATTTTTCAGTATTTTTTTACAGACGTATTAAAAAGAAACCTGATTTAATTTCACACTTTAATTTTGGATTTTATTAGAGTCAGTACTTAAATTGTATTGAAAGTACCATTTAAATAAATCAAAACTTTTCAAAAGCAGTTCTCACAGTTGGAAATAAGCTAATCAAAAATAAAAAAAGAATAACAAAAAAAAACCTTTAAAAAAGTTACGTTTAATAAAATGCAATTAGCGACTTCCATAAGAGCCTATACGTTACATTGTGGAATTAAATTATTTTTTTTCTCAAACTTACGTCTGAATAAATATTGAAAAAAAAATTCCTACGCACGTATACTCTTCATAGAAAGAATGTAAATTTTATGACCAAACATCACCTCCTGTATACAGCTATATGATTCTCACACCACTGGCTTGGACAAAAACAAAGCAATTATGAATGTTTTTGAGAACTTGGCACACACTATCACACCATTTGTGCAGGAATGAACAACGTTCTTATCTGAGATCTGTTTAGCAATGGTAACGAACTTGCGATTAGAAAGACGGTTTGTTTTTTTCCCCAATCTCGAGCTGATAACTTATTTGGCGTTAGTCAGCGTCGCGCGTCACGGGCACGCTTGCACAAAGCTATCAATAGTGTATATATATATATATATACATATACAAGTACACGTTATGAATAATAACAATTTTTTATTTTCACAACATGTTTGATATCGTGAGTTAGTGGGAGACACGTTTTTTTTTCTCTTCCTACAGAAATATTTATACTTACAACGAATTCAACAGGAAATCAGCATTCTCGTGGTTAAATAAATAAATTTTTTTGGGAACACTTGATCAAATTAAGGATCCTTTCGCTTCTTCGGGTGATACGTGAGAAAAATCGGCAATATGCAACGACTAGAATTTCCTAAAAATCAAACTCGTTTCAAGCGCTTTTGAGCATAATATATTGTTAGAATGAACAGAATAACTTTTACATATAACAGATATGAAAACATTTATTGTTATTATTACTATTATTATTACTTTCTTTTTTTTTCACGCCACCAATATTTTTAATTCACGTCATAGTAATGAATCAGACCTAAATACGTATGGTCTATACGCGTGGGACAAAACTATGGCGGAACAAAATGTAATAGCATTATTTTCTTTTTCGAATTCCATCATCTCTATATGCGGTATGATTACTGATAGGGTTTTTAAAGCTATATGTCAATTTTGAAGTTAAAAGCATATATCACTTTTATAACTACACAGTAAAGTTACATATATATATATATTTTATAGTTGCATTTACGTGTTAAGGAAATGTCTATAACCATGAGAAACATAACAAATTTTAATTGGACGTATTCAAATCTCACTGATTACTCTATGAATATTATAGCCAACGAGAGCCATTAAGAATTGCATGTAGTGCATTACAAATGACTGATGTATTTTTGATAAATTTGTTAACGTCAAAATATTTATGTACACTAAGTAATCAGTTATCGATTTCTTAACATGAAATTGCTTCGACATTTGACAAAATTTAGTTGAAATGCCACGTTATAAGTAACCAATGGTAACAGTAATAATAATAATAATATCAACAAAGTAATCTTTCAGTTTTAGTATAGAAACTCGAGCGCAAATCATCACTCACGTCTGAATGATCAACTTTTATGTTTTGGATTGGATACTTATGTGGCCGTAAAATAGAAAAGCATAGAAAAGCGACAGACATTTATTATGCTACATTTTGAAACCCAACGGTTACGTTAAAAAACTAGAATTGAGAAATGTTGCTAAATTTCGGTTAAAAAATTGTTTGAATTTTACTGTTAAAAATGACGTTCGATTGCAGTTTTAAACGTTTAAGTAACAGGATCGTTTAATAATGATGGAATATTTTTACACAGCCATGTATACCGTATTCATAATGAATTCGAGTCACAAATTGTACTGAAAAATAAACGTACATTCTTGCATGGATATTATAAATAAATCACGGTCGGTTTTTCATTTCAAAGAGTAAAATCAACGTCCTCAACCCCGATTTTCGCAACACAGGCAAAAAAGCCGGCGAGTCCTCGCCTTCCACTGGATGATACATCCCGGACGTCGTTGGAACGAGCCAACGGGACACGCGAGTCGCGGTGCCCCATCATCTGGTGATGCGCCGAAGCTGGTAATGGCGCTCCCGTATACGTGGGGGGACAATTTTCCCTCTCGCTTGCACTCGTGCGAGCCCTGCATCCGGAACTAGAGTGCTTATCAGATAATATCAGCGGGGTCCGGATGGTGGCGCGCAAAGCCAACCATTCTATTGCGGAGTTTCGTGTGTAAGGTCTCCGGCAGGCTGCGAGAGGGGAGCAAAAGGAGTGTACTATAAGTAGCACAGGAGCAGTTGAGCGAGTACCATTAGTACCACACAAGGCAGCAATATAGCGGTGTGTGCACAGTTGTTAGTGGTGTGGTCGTAAAACGATCGAGTTGATCGGCTGTGAGGCTGAGCTGTGAGGTTTCGTTCCTATTCTGTACACGAAAGCACGGCGCTTTTTTGTTTGTCCAGCTCTCGAAAGTGCATGTGAAGTTCGATTAAAGCCGCATTGGTAAAAGTGTCACCTCGAGCATCGTCACATCGTCAGTTTTATTATTCGCGTCGTCGTGACTGGCCGCTCGCAGCTCTCGGCATCGTCGTCAAAGGGTATACGTTCACGAACGACGCGTCTTTCCTCCCCCTCTGCCCCTCTGTCCGCACCCCCGCAGGTCAGTTCGGAGTGGTTCGGAGGCAGAAGAGAACAGTGGCTGTTAGGTAGTGGACGAACCACGAGCAGCGCGTGTTAAGCTCGCACAAAAGTAGTTCTTTCTGTACATCCGTGTATTGAGAGACGCACAGATACACCGAGCAGCGGTATTGGCCTGTGAGCTCGGAACTCGAAAGTGAAAAAGAAAGAGAAAGAGGAAAAGAAGCAGTCGGGCAGTTGTTCGCTGCGAGTATCAGCGAGGCCACATACGTACAGAGAAGGTACATTCATACTAAAGCGCCAACATGAGCTGGCAGGATTACGTCGACAAGCAGCTGCTCGCCACGAAATGCATAACCAAAGCAGCCATCGCCGGACACGACGGCAACGTCTGGGCGAAATCCGAGGGCTTCGATGTAAGTACCACCCGCGGCTACGTCACCTTGCCTCGACATTCCTCCTCGAATTGTCCGTGTAACCCCTCCCCTTGCCTCCCCCAACGGCCGGTCCACGGTTCCGACTGGCCGCCCTAACCTTACAAATCTCGCTATCGCCGTTTCGTTCTCGAAGCCGTGCAGCTTCCAAGTGATCATCTCCGTGCTATGCTCATTTCCGATTCGCTATTATGCTGCTTTCGTGATTCCCCTGTTGTCATCTCGTCGTTTCTCTGTGTGCGTCGGGTCAGTTGGAACGTGATGGCACAAAGAGGTTATACGTACTTCCAGTCGCCGACGCTTCGATTCGACGGCAACCGAACGGAGCAGAAAAGCGAACAAGAAACCGAGAGTGTGTATATAGCAACACGTACTTACAAGTGGAGAGGAAAGTTGTGTGCATGTAAATGTTTTTTATGCGTTTGAGTCGAGCACCGAGAGATAAAAGGTCCCGATGCATCCTCGGTCGATGCGAGCTGGTAGTCTTCGTTGAGAGGGTCAGACCAAAAAAAAAGAGAGAGAGAGAGAGACGTTAACCTCTCTCTGGGCGTAAAAAACTTTCGAAAAGCACCGGGTACTGTAGGTATACGCTGCTGCTGTTGGTGTCCGGCCGACGATAGGTATTGCTTCTCTCTTTCTCCGTTTTGCTTGGCTTTTCGGGTTCTCCGCGGCTGTGTCCTTGCCGGTGGCGGATATATGTCTATCGGAATGAAGTTCCGGTGCCACGTAGAATGACGATCACGTCGCCCCGCGAGTGTGCGAAAACTTCGCCGTGCCATCATTCTCCATCTCCTCTCCCTTTCACTGTGTAGTACTCGGTTACTTTTCGCTTAGCTTTTATGTACTTCATGAATACGTTCTTGCTTCTTTCAAATATCATTTCCGTTTCCATCGCCAGCTGGACTAAAGTACGAATATAATTACTTCCCTAGCCGATTTCGTTCCTCGTTCGATTACAGTATCTCTCTTTCTCTCTGTGTGTGTGCAAACATACACATGTACAGGTATACAATTTAAATACGTGGGCGCGCTCACACTCCGTAATGCCCTTACAACTTTACTGCAAGTTGGGTGAGCGTATAAGTGCTTGGATCGTGTCCCTTCCCTGTGATTTCGCGTTAGCTCGCACTCGTGCATTCTCATGTATATATATATATATATATAGATTGATCCAAA